GACCACTTCGAATTATTTTATTCGATTAAGCTAACGTGCCTATCACGTTGAGGTTGGCTACGCCGGGATTCGTTTTCAGCAAGTAGATATCCACACAAGTGGACCTTGTTGGAGCATACGTAATCCTAAAATGTAGCATCGTGCTACAGATGGCGTGTACTGCACCATTTGTGGTATTTTCTAAAACGCACTGTTAAGACAGCAGGTAAAAGTTGGTCTGTGTTCTGTCGGAACTGTCTGCGACGCGCTGATGAGATCTTCGACAGAATACAGACCACTTCGAATTATTTTATTCGGTTATGGTAACGTGCCTATCACGTTGAGGTTAGCTACACTGGGATTCGTTTCAGCAAGTAGATATCCACACAAGTGGACCTTGTTGGAGCATACGTAATCCTAAAGTGTAGCATCGTATTACAGACGGCGTTTACCGCGCCATTTGTGGTATTTTCTAAAGTCAACATATAGTTCAGAATGTTCTTTTTTTGGGGACTTACTTACTTAGTTATTTAATCATAGGAAAGAGTGTATATCTGACCAGTTTTAGGATGAACCTTATGATGATGGCTTTGAGAAAGAATCTTTACCACTGTTTGAAAAAAAGGAAATAAGGTCGTCAGTCCTAAGACTGGTTAGACATGCACCTTTACTCTTTCCTAACCTGAGCCACTTTTCGCATTTCCCTAAAATTAGCACAGGCTACATCCTTAACAATTTGCGAGCAGTAGTCTAATCCAGGTCTACATCTACCCCTCCTAACTCCTCCGTTTCTGTCTCTAATATGACTCTTAATAGACCTTCATGCCTGAGAAGGTGTCCTACCAACTTATCTTGATTTTTCTTGTTGACTTCCATAGAGTCCTCTGTTCTCCTATTCTTTCTAATATCCTCGCATATATATGACAGGAAATTTCAGTATTTAAGTCAATTATTGTGTCGGTAAATAGAAAAAGACCGAATCTACATCTGCAAGACCAAGACCACTTCCCAAGTACAACCCAACCAATTCTACATTTTTCTTCTTCTTCTACATTCCGTCTTTGCTCTAAAGTGTAGAGATTGCCCGCCTACCAGTGTTAGCCACAGATGGGAATAAAACCCCTAGCTTTTCTTAAGCTTTAACTATTGTTGACTATAACGCTACCTGTACTAACTCTAGCGCGCTTGTTGCTGCAACATATATTTTCATCATTTTTGGATAAATAAAAAGAGCAGAATATTTTCGATTAAGTATTTGGTAAACTAATCCTTAATCATTAACCCTTCTCTTATTAGATGGACCTTTGCGTTGTGTGGATTTGTTGCATCACAGTTATATTGTAGCGAGCACGAGTGTGTTTGTGTGCGACCGGGCACACTGTGCGTGAACGGCTTATCGATTCGCCGACTAGCCGCGGGCGTATTTGTAAATGTGTGTGTCATACTTGCGTTCTAAGAAAGCAGTTAAACAGTCCAAAGAAAATATAAACTATCCGGACGTTTTCCAGAAGGTTCCCGAAAGTAAACAAAATAGTATTTAAAGGAAGAAACGATCGCCGAGAGGAGAAATAAATTGACCGTTGCAGAAGTGAATCCAGAAATAAATTGACAGTGATAGCAGTGAAATAAATAGCGCAGTGAATAGTGATATATCAACAGTAGTATAAATAAATCGAATAATTCATAACCTAAGTTTAGTAATAATTTAATAGTGTTTTTAATTTCTTTAACAATTAGTGTAAATAAATAGTTTTTGTCGTTATCAGTCTTGGAAGTAATTTTGTTAAACCCATGAACATTACAATATTCATAGTGAACCTGTTTGTTAAGAGTTAAGGTTCTTCAACTATCCTTATAAAAATGTAGTAGGTACATATATATGTTATGTGAAATAGAATTTAATTTGTTGTCCAATGTGCCATTAAATTCGTAATGTCTCTTTCTATAAACCCACATGCGTATGTATAGATATCGTAATGTTTTATAGAGCGATTATGGCCACATTTATTACGCCATTATCCAAGTAATATTTTACGGTTTGAGAGACGTTTCGTAACCCACAGTCCGGTTATATTGGTCGAACTTCTTATTAAACATGACATCCGGAAATGTCAGTACTATAAAATGGCCAGGGAATTAATTAATTATTGCGAAACCTACCGTAAAAAGATATCCAATTATTAAATCCGAATCCCCAGGGATGCCTATTGAACTTTTCCCGAGCACAATCGTTGTAGCCCATGCGCAATCCGCGTATATGTCTAGAATGCTGTCGTTTCTTAATCTGCAATTGAAACCGATGCTGTAACTACAACAATATACTGTAAATATTATCATTTTTAATCAAATGTGAGATGGTCTAGGACTAATGTTGGTACTAAAGGTAATGATAATAATTAAAATAATGAGGTAACCCAGTAGTTGTAGTTCATGTCTTACCATGAGTATAAAATATGCATGATTGAAGCTATATGATGTTTCAAATTCAATAAGGAACAATGCATTAGAGAATTAAGTTTTTGAATTAACATTACGCACTACAGATAAATAAAAATTGTTGCTGCTGTCAAACCTTCGCCGGGATTCGAACCCGATCCCCGGGTTTTACCCAGCTACCTACTGCTAGAGGTGACAGTAGCCACACCGACGGTACGTACCTAAGAATATAGGTTGCAGAATCGCCGAACCAATGTATAATCATTATTAATAATCAGATACTTTAAATTTTAATAGGTTTAATAACCTCAAATTATCGTCGGTCACCTCGTCGTAGCTTAGTGGTAGAGTACCTGTGCGTAAAACTAGGGGCACGGGTTCGATTCTCGGCGAAGGACTTAACAGCAGCAACAATTTTTGCTCATTAATTTGAGGTTATCTGTAGTGTGTAATGTTAATTTAAAGAATACCTTAACCCTACAAACATTCAAAGATCTCATTGTTAATAAAAAATGTTATTTTTACAATTATGAATGTAAAATTTATTTTAGAGGGTTGCTCGGAGTCATTTCGTTTTTTTTTTTGTGGAAATGAAAGACAGTTTTCGTATTATAAACTAGGGGCACGGGTTCGATTCTCGGCGAAGGACTTAACAGCAGCAACAATTTTTGCTCATTAATTTGAGGTTATCTGTAGTGTGTAATGTTAATTTAAAGAATACCTTAACCCTACAAACATTCAAAGATCTCATTGTTAATAAAAAATGTTATTTTTACAATTATGAATGTAAAATTTATTTTAGAGGGTTGCTCGGAGTCATTTCGTTTTTTTTTTTGGAAATGAAAGACAGTTTTCGTATAATAAACAAATACTTTATTAAATTATATATTGACCGTTCTGGTCCAACACCTTTTGCCATCTTTCTGGTAGTAGCATAATTCCACGCTCATAAAATTTTTGGTCTTTGCTGGCAAAAAACTGATCGAGGAGGTTTTTGACCTCCTCATTTGAGGTGAAGGTTTTACCGTCTAAAAAATTTTGGAGTGACCGGAACAAATAATAATCCGATGGTGCCAGGTCTGGAGAATATGGTGGGTGTAGCATTGTATCCCATTCAAGCTGTAAAAGCTTTTGGCGAGTGACCAAACTTGTGTGAGGTCTCGCGTTGTCTTGGTGAAACACTACACCTTTCCTGTTGATTAGTTCTGACCTTTTCTGTTGAAGTGCATCATTCAGTTTGTCCAGCTGATGACAGTAGACTTCCGAATTAATCGTTGTGTTATCCGGTAAAAGCTCAAAAAAAAAAAACGATTCCTTTAAAATCCCACCAAACAGACAGCATCACCTTTTTTAGGTGAATATTTTGGTGAAGTTGGGTGCAAAAGAATACAATTAAATCCTCTGTCGGGAAAAAACGAAATGACTTTCCGAACAACCCTATATTACTCTATAATGAAAACTCATGCTGTTAAATCAAATCAATATTATCAAACATCAAAATCAATTTAAATATTTCATTCTTTAATCATTTTGTATAGACCCCAAAAACCTTATGTAGGGTAAATAGCCAAAAAAGAATTAATATACAGGATGTTCTCTTTCAAACGTGGATTTGGTACGTTACGACCTGAATCAACACCCCGTATATATAAAAATCTAAAATAAATCATAGTTTGCATTACCCCCACATCAGTTGCCACTTGAAATCACTGCTGAATTATGGTGTATGTACTTAAAAAGTATTTGGAATTTGTGTGCAAGACCACGAACATCATAAAAGTGTGCAAACGTTGAATAAGTCTCGATAATGTCTTACCCAATTGCAACTTGATGCCAAAGACCGTCGGACATGGTCATTGGTATTCTGATTACATCGGTTCCGTTCGATGAGGCAAGCACAATCTTGATGTCCGGTCCTGCGACTTCCAATGAAAAATAAGTATCCTGCCTTCTTTTCGATCGTAGACTAAGAACGGTGCCAAAATTGTTCTGTATCTGAAAATAAATTGGCGGATTCGTATTATGTGTCGACAAATCCGATGTTATTGTAGAAATAATACCTTTGTACGACAATATCGATAAAATGTTTATCTACTCAATTCTGATACGTTTCGTTATTTTACGGTAACATTATCATTCTTGTGGCGCCTGACAGACTAACATTTTTACAAAAAAGCATTTTACATTCAAAGTAATCGCTACGAAAATAATCTCATAATACCCAATCAAAATTGTTAGGAAAAATCATATTAAGGTTAGGTTGAGTTAGGCTGTTACTTTCTCTTTCTTCGTGCATTTCGACGAACTAATAGTTTAACTAATCATCAGTCCTAAGACTGGTTGGACACGCGTCTCCACTCTTTCCTATCCTGAACTAATCTTCGCATCTCCCTAAAACTAGAACACTCCACAAGCTTAACTATTTGCGAACAGTAATATAATCTAGGTCTTCCTCTACCCCTCCTAACTTCCGTTTCTGCCTCTAATATGTCTCTGACTACACCTTACGCCTGAGAAGGTGTCCTACTTACTGTTCGTTTCAAGCAGTTGGAGATATGCCCTTCCCTTTATTAGAATGCGCCGTAGCATAATTCCAAATTCAATCATATTTGTCTGCGGAGCTCATTTCTCCACCGATCATCGAGCGAGAACCAGACAAAAGTGTACAGTACCATTTGCAAAATTATTTAAACTGCCTCGTTAAAATTTAAGAATATGCTTTATTTAAAAGCATATTTAGCCAAAAATAATAACAAGTGAATTAACTTAACGTTCTACACACCTATAAAACTTTTGCTTTGTTTTCTATTGTTAATTTATATACATTTTTGTTTTAAGAAATTGCTAAACATTTTCGTCTAGTACTGTACAGTTCTAGCCGATCTCCTAAGACCGCCCATCGAGAGCTCTGCTCGTTCAAGCTTGTTCCAACTATTTCTGTCTTGCTCACGCCTAGTGTGTATTCTTTTTATCTTCGCGCAGATTTCTTCAAGGTCACAATTCTAACAAATTGAAATGGACTGTACCTATCTCGTCTATTTCTTATTGACTTCCATATAGTCCTCTGTTCTCTTACTCTTTCTAATACCTCTTCATTTCTAACCTTCTCTATCCACGGTATCCTCATCATTCGCCGGTAAAACTACGTTTCGAGCGCTTCTAACCTTTGCTTTTGCACTCATACAGCGCCGCGCTCCAAACATGCACATTTAACAATTTTTTTCGAATTTCTAAATTAATCGTTCGCGGGCACAGAAGTGACTTCTTTTTATTAACCCTGCACTATCATCTGCTTTATTTCCCTGCTACTCCTTCTGTCCTGACTTATCTGACTTCGTAGGTACCAAAAATCAGCCACCTCTTTTAATATTTCGTCTCCTATCTTTACATTCGCTCTTTTTTTACTTTTTCTGTCCTTGCATACTTTTCCGGATAAGGATTTAATATTTAAAATAATCTTATAATAATCTTCATTAGTAAGCAATTAAAACACAAAGTTGTTGGAAAATTAAGTTAGTTTGGATTCGGCTGTAACTTCATTCTTCTGGCATATTGACAGGCTAATATTTTAACGAAAAATAATTTAACATTCAAAATAATCTCATAGTTATCATCATTCGTAAACAATTAAGCCACTAACTAAAAACAATATCGTCTAATTCCCATTATTATATGTATAAAGCAAGCAAATAAGAAGAATCTTTAGATTAAATTAGCAACCAACAACAAAATGCAACGATTGAAATTTCATAAGCAAATAAAACAAGAACTGCACCATCATTATTACCAAGGTCCATCTCCAATTAGGATGTTGACTTGTCGACATAGATAGAAAGTCGTTGAATAATTGGTTCGCACACAATCTCTTTATAAAGTTACTATACGGAGTATAACCATAGTCTACATTAATTTATTTAACAAGTGAATCAGTGGTTTATCATGTCAATGAAACGAAGTCTGCTTCTCAAACCGATTGTAATTATTTTCACCACAATAAATAGAAGTTTGATTATTGACGATTATTGCAGCTCTAAGATAAAACTAATAAAATAGTCATTTTACTCAAATAAACACTTCTATATTGTGAATTTTTGGTTTTAGTTACAATTATTACAGTCCAACAAGTTTTTATAAGTACCCTAATTTCATTGGTAACGATACAATACTACAATAAACGTTCATGGAATCATATCGTGACTTCACCCATCAGCGTATTGAGTAGTAAAATTGAAATGTTGTGGAATTGTTTGCTGTGTAAACGTAAAACCCTCGGTATTATTTTTTGTCGCTTTTCCGTCAAATGTTTGTTTTTTCTTATTAACGATCTCCACAAGATCCAGAAGACTCTTTCTTTGGTGCTCCGTCATATTGGAACAGAGGAGTTGGTACCACTCTGGATCAGATTTTTCCAAATTTTCCATCGTCTCTTTAAACACTATAAACTCTTCCATTTCTTTTCCTTTGTCATCTACCACCGTTTCATAGGACTCCAATAACGTTTCATCATCCATGTCATAATCCGAACTGCTGTTGTCCGAATCATCATCCATATCGAGACTTTTACTCTTCAATACTTCCAACGATATCCGTTCTAAATATTGTTGACCTTTATCTTCCACATCATCTTCGTCAGAATTGAGATCTTCAAATGCTTCAGTTTCATCGTTTACGTCATTATAGTCCTCATCCATTTCCTCGCTGTCCAAATTGTGTTTCCTTGTGGAATACGCTCTTTGCAATCCATCAAAGAGGACGACAAACGTTGCCATGATATTGGAAGCTATTGTTTCAACAAATTTTGGCCTGTTGGACATTGAGACGAGTTTAGAAAGGGCCAACATGCACATCTTTCTGTCATGGATCCCACTGAAGTCGTCAATGCTAGCCAACCACCCATTCATAAAGTAGGTTGCAAATGTTGGAATATTGTCAACGATGGTGAAAAACTGATGGGGATCGTGATACACTAATGCTATAAGAACTAGTAGACACATTCCTCGTACGTCTTCGGAAGTTTCACGAAGAAGTCGTGAGGCAACAACTTCAGTTATCACAGGTATAACAATTGATAAGCGTTCTCTGCATTGAAGAACTAACACTTCCAAAAGTTTAGCTGCGTGTGTGGTAAGTTCATCATCATCCTCTTCCTTGATTAAAATGTACTTGCACATTTCAACTACCGCATGCAATCGGTTGGCATCTTCTAAAAATCCGTTTGTATCAATCACAATAAAATTGTGCAATGTTGGCATCATATCAATGAAATACTTGGTACCATCTTCTAAAAATATTTGGTACAACATGTCAAAAATTTTCCACATATCCCTGGTTATTCGCCTACTCGTAAGCTCCGTGAGAAGATTGAGTGCATCGTCGAAAAAATCGTACGATTTGTTTTGCAGGATCTGATTAACGACTGGTATTATTGGAGGTTCTAGAAGTGAATGGATGTCTGGCTTTTCGTCTAACACTGTCAAGAGTGTTTCCATTGTGCTTAGTAATTCTTTAGCAGTTAGAGCTTTGTCTTCCAAAGCTTCTTCAGTGCTCGAAAGAACCAAAAAGGTATCCGACAACTGCTTACACAATTCCACTGCAATAGGAATAAGTTGAGGCGTGAATACGTAAACAAGTTTGTTCATGGTTTCTGAAACGTCTTCGTTTGCCGTTTCTCGTATTAAATTAAGCAGTTGGAGAGCAACCTGCTTGACGTATGTTTCAATCACTTTGTGGGATCTGTTTTGATGGCTCAATAGCATCTGAATGGCTGTAGCTGCCTGTATTTTTACTGGTAATTCCCGATCCTGGATCAAAGTTTCGACAGTATATTGAACGGCGTCGAAAAGGACGCTCTCAGATTGGAATCGGTATTGGCTGTAATATTGCACCATCCAGCAGGCCCTTGCCCGCAAATGACCCTGAGGGCTTCGGAATTCCGGAAAAACGTATTTGACGAAAATATTGTCTATTTCGTTGCAAAGCCCTCTTTTCCTGATAAGCACATCAGAAACACTGCCCAACATCAAGAGCGCTCCGTCCTTTTGAAACGGCTGAACGTCAGGGCTTTCAAGAACTTGAAACAAGAATTGCAAAGTGTTTTGCAACACACCTTTGCGTTTTTTACATGAGGTGTTGAGTAGGTATTGCGCTGCGAATACCGGTGAGTCGTAACACTCGAACACATCAAATTTTAGTCTGATATACTTGAGTGGGTCAGACTTCCAAAGTCTATTGTCTTTTGCGGTATAGTTCAAAAGTGGAAATATAATGTCTTCCACTAAAAACTTGATGTGCTTTTTAATGGTCTTCCATGTGTATGAGTGCAACAGGCCCTTGTTAATGTACGAAAGCATCAAATGAAGGACACGTGGTGGTAACCAATTATTATTTTTGTACAAATCTAATTGCCGGAAGATGACTTCAAGGACATCGTTGCTGAACGTTGCCAAGTACCACGCTGCAAATTTTTCGTATTCCTTTGAAACGTTACCAGGAGATCCATATCGTTCGAACATGCGATATAAGATGTGTATGGCCCACTTTTTAGTTTTCCACCAGGCCAATTTAGGTCTATCTTCCTCATCACAATTAAAGACTTCTAAATGTGATGGACGATCGATTATAGCCATGCACATTTTCATCCACTGAGCAAAAAGCGTTTCATCCAATATTTCATAAGGAAAATTGTATTGTGTCAATGAAAAATATATTTTGAGGCATGTCTTTTGAATAAGAGCACTTGTCTCTGATAGATCCGACATGTATTGGCACAACTTTGAATATATCTGTGGTAATAAGGTCTTCATGGGTGTTTCCAGTGGCTTGCGATCGTCTTGTCTTTTGGATTCGAAGAATTTAGTTAATTGGTACAAACTGAGCAAAGCTCCATAAACGGAATTGGCTTCAGAACGGATCATAAACTCATTGATTTGGTCTATAAATCTGGTCCAAATTGCGGGGAAGTCCTGTTTGATAACTTGACTAAGGCATGTACACAATTGATTTCTTACCAAATCTGGAGAGTGCACTACACTAGCAATCAATGATTCTCTTATTATATATTTATCATCGTCGGTTACAACGGTTTTGGATTTAAGATCTTCGTTACTTGAGTCGAATTTCCAATTTTGGCAAATGAAGTTCTTAAAGTAGACGGCACCAGCTTGACGAACGGACAGGTCCATTTCTCTCAGCATTATTGTTTTTAGAAGTAGAGGAGCAAATCCGGGGACTTTTTGGATTTTATTCAGTTGTTCTTCAGCCGATTTGCGTCGATTCGGATCTAACGTTAATCTTAACAAATCTACTAAGCACTCACTATCCATTTTGTTATGTATTTAAATACAAAAATTTGAATGTGGAGAAGATTAACGGTGTTGTCTCATTTATATTATTCTAAATCTTGAATTGTCAACTTGGCATACCAAGTAATTGTTTTTCCTAAAGTACCTACTCATATAACTTGATTTTTTTGAACATTTGCATGTGAAATTATTACATGTACTTCTTCGGCCACCCGGTACAATAAAATAAACATTCATGAATGTCAACAAGCATTCTGGGCGTTCGCGTGACTCTAATTATTTTGACAACAAATGGAAGGCAGGAAGAAGTGGTTTATTTTTACTTACCTCACCTCCTCGGGCGGTTCTCAATGTGACGAACAGGGCAAATTGTTTCGGTAGCCATCTTCCGTCCACGAAAGGAAACATATCGGGAGATGGTATCCACATGTACGAATCGAGTTTGAAGTTCCACGCGTTCGGTCGATCTGAATAGTGTTGCCAGCTGTTCTTCGAAGGGTGGAAAAATTTGCTCTTGCCAATTTCGAGGGGATTCACCAGGCCGTTACATCTGGTATCAAGTATATACAGGGTGATTCACCAAATGTTGGAAAGTCGTCTAATTTTGGAAACTTTTTTGATTCAATCTTTTTTGAGTGATAAGAACATATAAAATAATTCGAAGTGGTTTGTATTCTGTCAGAGGTACCAGACGCGGATCGCGATTTCGATCTTGTTGGATCTCATCAGCGCGTCGCAGACAGCTCCGACAGAACACAGACCAACTTTTACCTGCTCTCTTAACAGCGCGTTTTAGAAAATACCACAAATGGCGCGGTAAACGCCATCTGTAGTACGATGCTACATTTTAGGATTACGTAAAGTTGGTCTGTGTTTTGTCGGAGCTGTCTGCGACGCGCTGATGAGATCCAAAAGGATACGTAATCCTAAAATGTGGCATCGTACTACAGATGGCGTTTACCGCGCCATTTGTAGTATTTTCTAAAACGCGCTGTTAACACAGCAGGTAAAAGTTGGTCTGTGTTCTTTCGGAGCTGCCTGATGAGATCCAAAAAGTTCGAATTCGCGATCGTCGTCTGGCAGTTTTGACAGAATACAAGACCACTTCGGATTATTTTATTCGATTACGGTAACGTGCCTATCACGTTGAGGTTAGCTACGCCGGGATTCGTTTCAGCAAGTAGATATCCATTACAGCGCGTTTTAGCAAATACCACAAATGGCGCGGTAAACGCCATCTGTAGTACGATGCTACATTTTAGGATTACGTATGCTCCAATAAGGTCCATTTAAATATATGGATATCTACTTGATGAAACGAATCCCGGCGCAGCTAACCTCAACGTGATAGGCACGTTACCATAATTGAACAAAATAATTCGAAGTGGTCTGTATTCTGTCGAAGCTGCTAGACGCGGATCGCGATTTCGATTTTTTTGGATCTCATCAGCGCATCGCGGACAACGTGCCTATCACGTTGAGGTTAGCTACGCCGGGATTCGTTTCAGCAAGTAGATACCTATATATTTAAATGGACTTTGTTGGAGCATACGTAATCCTAAAATGTAGCATCGTACTACAGATGGCGTTTACCGCGCCATTTGTGGTACTTTCGATAAGAACATACTTTAATATTTATTTTGTACCTAGGAGGATATGATGACCCAAGGTTATGATAATTCCCTTAATGGACCACACTTCTTTTTTGTTAATGTTTTGAATTATATTGGGATATCCAATTATGTTTCAAGACTCAAAAGGGTTAAACGGTGAGGAAATAAAATTGAGAATATTATAAATAAAATGTGAGTAATATTGAGTAAATGTTCTGAAAATTACATACATACTCGAACAGGTTGCACTGTCTCTCTTCTATATTATAACCGAAGCACTGTTTTCTGAAACATCTTCTAGTACGTCTCTGTATCCCTGATCCACAAGAAATCGAGCAAGATGACCAATCAGACCAATTGCTCCAACCTGATGATTAAAAGGGTGTGTTGATAGATCTTCCGTTGAGTGTTATTTTTTCAAAGGTTGCATTAAAAAATATCATTTCAACTGGTTTATACCAGAATGTCGAATTAATAGTTAATAATGATTCACAGAATTGAACAAAATGTTTCGAATCAAGTGATAACAATATATATTGTAATGTAGATAAAACAAAGTCACTCTGAGGAAAATGCGGCTCTGTACGATAGTCCAGAAATAGGTTTGGACATTATATACAACATCTCTTATTACTTTACCTCAGTATTCAAAGTATCAAATCAATTAACAGAATCTACAGAACAGTCAATAAGTACTTAGTAAAAATACAATAAAATACAGAGCGTAACAGAAATAAGTAGAGCTTGAAGGAGGTAATAGGGCACTCTACAACAAGAAAATTATGTAAATGTCTATGTCCGAATGTCCACTCGAACATGGTTAAAAGACATTCGATAACCGTCATTATTTACGTTCTCCTTCGATGTAGCTTCAGAGTTTTAATCCTAGTTCGCTATTCTTGGACACCTACGTTACTAATTTACGCGCAGGACCGGTTTAGGATGGTAAATTATTACGTTTTTATTAAAAAAAATTTTGCCCTTCACCATGCTATTCCTTATGGCATCCAGTATATACCCTCCGCCGCTCCGCATTTATTTCTGTTGCACCCTGTAGACGACCAATATAAAACGCAAACGAGAATGGAATCATAAGCAAATCCCGAGCACCCACGAGATTTTTTTAAAGTCGACGTCCCTGTCGTTAATATTAATATTTTATTATAAATATGTTTACAAGAGGTACCTACTGCATTATGATTAACACATGTAGATAGTAAAAGATGATTGATAACAACGGAAATGTACCTGTTTGTCGCCAGGTGTACGTACCTAACGTTTTCCAGATGTTTTCCTCTTCCTTTTCGCTCCATTTGATTAACGAAAGCCCTGAAACGATGTCCTCCCTCCTCTTGCAAAACACAATGAAATCTAGGATTGGGCCGTCAGCGCAATCTTCCAGCGTAATGTCGTTCCCTTCGAATGTTATATTTACTTGTCTGCAATTAAGTTTGTTTCAAAGGAATTCTAACAAACGCGTTTTCGTGTTGCAAGGATTTCATTCTAATTCGGTTTTGTTTGTTTGTATCCCTGTTTCTGGCAGATAGTGCAAATTCGTGTAACTTATGGTAATTTAAATGTAAAAAGCTTTCATCTGCTGCTTCTCTAAATAATGGAACAGTTACTTTGTTTACTGATACAGTGACAAATAAACAGCCAGACTGAAAAAATAATACAAACACAAATTTTTAATACCAAAAAGAAAATCAAATTGTAATTCCCACTTTCTGTTTCCTTGGCTCTTAAAATTTTCCCAATTTGGAAGTAAGTCTATATTAATTCGATACTTCATTTGAGTCGCTGGTGTTCGGTAATTGGGGTGGTTGTGGTTTGGCATTGCAAGCAATAGGACCAGCACTACACTGTTGACGACATAATTGAGAACATCATCGAAAAAACAATGTTCTGGGTTCAAAAATAAATTTATTGGATGTAGTTGGGGTTCAGGCATGGGGTAAAAGGTGTGAAGGTGAAATATATTTCCATTTAATTGGAGGACAAACTTCACCTCATCCCAGCAGTAGATTGAGGTTTTAAAGGATGATAAAAGTTGGTTATTAATGTATATCCCTAGATGGCGATCAGGCCAATAAACAGAGTTCAGCGATATTTCCCCTGAAATTAGTTTGGAGTCAGACATGTGACGGAGAAGTAGAGGTGAAAATTAATTTCCACATATATGGAGGAGAAATTTCATCCCATAGGAGGATGAAATTGCGTAGGATGGTAAAGTTGTGTTAGTAACGTATCTCCTCGTTGGAATTAGTTGGTGTTCTGGCATAGAGCGGAAAGGTCAAGGTGATAAGTTTCTCCTCTATTAAGTGGATGTAAAATCTCATCCATCCTCGTAGGAGGTTGGAATGGTGAAGGACGATAAAGTTACTATAGTGAATTCCCACCGGAATTAGATGGTGGTCAGATCTACAAGTGGAGTTCGAATATATTTCCTTTGAACGGAGTCGGTCATGTGGCTGAGAGGTGGACGTGAAATTTCTCTCCACTTATGTGGAGGTGTAATTTCATCTCATCTCCGTAGCATGTTGGAATTGCAGAGGATGGTGAAGTAGCGTTAATAAAGTATATCGTCTTTGGAATTTTTTGGGCTTCTGGCATGGAGCGGAGAGGTGAAGGTGAAGTTTCTCCTACGTAACGTGGAGGTAAAATTTCACCTCATCCTAGAAAGAGAGTGGAGAGCTTATGGATAATGAAGAGGGTTTTTACAGTTGGGATTCTGACATGGAGCGGAGAAGTGAAGGTGAAGTTTCTCCTCCGTAACGTAAAGGTAAAATTTCACCTCATCCTAGAAAGAGAGCGGAGAGGTTATAGATAATGAAGGGGGTTTTTACAGTTGGGATTCTGCCATGGAGCGGAGAAGTGAAGGTGAAGTTTCTCCTCCGTAACGTNCTACACTGTTGACGACATAATTGAGAACATCATCGAAAAAACAATGTTCTGGGTTCAAAAATAAACTTATTGGATGTAGTTGGGGTTCAGGCATGTGGTAAAAGGTGTGAAGATGAAATATATTTCCATTTAAGTGGACGACTAACTTCACCTCATCCTAGCAGTAGATTGAGGCTTTAAAGGATGATAAAAGTTGGTTCTTAAAGTATATCCCTAGATGGCGATCAGGCCAATAAATGGAGTTCAGCGATATTTCCCCTGAAATTAGTTTGGAGTCAGACATGTGATGGAGAAGTAGAGGTGAAAATTAATCTCTACGTATATGGAGGAGAAATTTCATCCCATAGGGGGTTGAAATTGCGTGGGATGGTACAGTAGTTTTAATAACGTAACTCTTCGTTGGAATTAGTTGGTGTTCTGGCATAGAGCGGAAAGGTCAAGGTGAAGTTTCTCCTTTATTAAGTGGATGTAAAATCTCACTCATCCTCGTAGGAGGTTGGAATGATGAAGAGCGATAAAGGAGGTAACCACAGTGAATTCCTATCGGAATTAGATGGTGGTCAGGTCGACAAGTGGAGTTCGAGTATATTTCCTTTGAACGGAGTCATGTGTGAGAGGACGTGAAATTTCTCTCCAATTATGTGGAGGTGTAATTTCGTCCGATCTCCGTAGGAGGTTGGGATTATAAAGTATGGTAAGTAGTGTCAATAAAGTATATCATCTTCAGAATTTGTTGTAGTTCTGGCATAGAGCGGAGAGGTGAAGATAAAGTTTCTCCTCACATTAGTGGAGGTAAAATTTCATCTCGTACTCGTAGGAGTTTGGGATTTCAAAGGATGGTGAAGTAGCGTTAATAAAGTATATCGTCTTCGGAATTTATTGTAGTTCTGGCATAGAGCGGAGAGGTGAAGATGAAGTTTCTCCTCTGTAAAGTGTAGATAAAATTTCACCTTATTCTCGAAGGAGATTGGAGAGGTTATGGATAATGAAGGGGCTTTTTACAGTACATTCCCATCAGAATTGGATGGTGGTTAGGTCTACAAGCAGAGTTCGAATATATTTCCCTTAGAATTAGTACGGAGTCGGGCATGTGGCTGAGAGGTGGAGTTGAAATTTCTCTACATTTATGTGGAGGTGTGACTCTATCTCATCCCCGTAGGAGGTTGGAATTACAGAGGATGGTGAAGTAGCGTTAATAAAGTATTTAGTCTTCGGAATTTTTTGGGCTTCTGGCATGGAGCGGAGAGGTGAAGGTGAAGTTTTTCCTCTGTAACGGGGAGGTAAAATTTCACCTCATCCCAGAAAGAGAGTGGAGAGGCTATGGATAATGAAGGGGGTTTTTACAGTTGGGGTTCTGGCATGGAGCGGAGAGGTGAAGGTGAAGTTTCTCCTCCGTAACGAGGAGGTAAAATTTCACCTCATCCTAGAAAGAGAGTGGAGAGGTTATGGATCATGAAGGGGATTTTTACAGTTGGGGTTCTGGCATGGAGCGGAGAAGTGAAGGTGAAGTTTCTCCTCCGTAACGTGGAGGTAAAATTTCACCTCATCCTAGAAAGAGAGTGGAGAGCTTATGGATAATGAAGGGGGTTTTTACAGTTGGGATTCTGACATGGAGCGGAGAGGTGTAGATGAAATTTCTCCTCACATTAGTGGAGGTAAAATTATACCCCATTCTCGTAGGAGGTTGGAATGGTTAAAGATGATAAAGGAGGTTACTACAGTGAATTCACATCGGAATTAGTTGGCGATCATTCCTGAGAGCGGAGTTCGAATATTCTCCTTGAAATTAATTCGAATTCGGGCATGTGATAGGGGAGGTGAAGTAGCGTTAATAAAATACATCCAAGTTAGAATTAGTTGGAGTTCTGACACCAAGCGAAGAGGTGAAAGTGAAGTTCATGCTCGCTTAAGTAGAAATAAAACTTCACTTCATCCTCGAAGGAGGTTGGAAAGGTGATGGATGATAAAGAGGGCTACAAGCGAGGTTCGAGTATATTCCCCTCTACAGTTTTAGGTAGTATGGAGTTTGATTTCTATTTAAAACGGAGGGGTATAATTGCAGGGGATGGGGGTGAAAAAACAAAAATGTAAAAAACGGAAGTAATGCAACCTAACCCAACCCTTATCCGTTTTGACTTTAAATCCCATTCTCAGTCAGTCATGTATCACGATATTGATTTTTACCAAAAATTATAAGGGATTTCAAGACTACTGCGCTAAGAAAATATCTTTCTCAATTTAAACTAATGTGGCGAAATAACTCTTATTGTTTTTTTGTGTAAATGTTTTTTCTAATTTTTCCCTTTCAAATAATATTTCATTTCAAATATTAATTCACTTCAAATATTATTTCAATTCATTTCAATTTCTTATCTTGTAAATACTTTGGTTTCCTTTCAATCTAAACTCTTTTGTTCTTTCAATCACTTTTACCCAGAATTCCAACTTCAACCATACCTGCATGCACTCGCATACTAATATCTGGTTTTACCCTTAATTGCTTTCTCTTGAATTCTGTACTATCTAATTCTGTGTATTCCTACAAACTAGTGTCTTCACCCTCTCTCTCGCTACTTTTCCTTTTAGAACATTCTATCAAAATTACTAACAACCTTATCATATCTCAAGACAGTCTCTCGTCTACCGTTTCTAACATTCGTAAGTGCTTTTATCTATATTGTTTTGATTTTATTGTTGTTGTCTTTGGTATTAATATTGTTGTTATCTTGTTCTTTTTATCACTTTGTTCTCGTTTGTATGTTTCACTCCTTGTGCCTTTTTGTTACCTTTGTTTTCGTTTGTTATTGTTACAAATTGTTATTTGTTATTAGTGTTTTCTTGGTATTTAAATAATATACACCAAAAGACACTAAACTAGTATTTTACTTTAAACAAGAATAAAAATAATCAGCGTTCATGCGTGAAATATTTCTAATCCAGGAATACCAATTTTCAGTGATTATGTTTTTAAAGACTAAAGTGTGTTGCCCTTTTGGGAATTTTAGAATTTCGAAAAAGTACGCCGCATACATATGGGAATCTTAATAGTTAACAGAAATATCTTTTATTTTCAACAATTGACATAACTATAATGATCTTAGTTGTCTTATCTTTCAATTAAGTAAATCACAATGGAGTGGAGTGTATTAAATTGAAATATTCAAAAGTTGCAACCTGCTTCTTTCTTATCGACAAGTAATTCAATCCACCACCCTTTAAAACCTCTTTCAAATGCATATTATTTATTTGTGTTTCCACGCGTCTGTTAACGTTCACTTCAAAGTTGTAACTGCTTCTTTAAACTTTCATAACTGATATTTAATCGATTGTCGTTTATTCTATATGACTATATCCGGAGCTTCTATAAATGGTAACAAAGAAATGGTGGAATTCACATATGAAAACTCAAAAACAGAAATACTCATATCTCTATTTAAATTTTAAAGGCAGTCAGATAGGAAAATATTTCAAGGCCCTTATTCTTCACAAACTGATACAAAATTAATGTGCTTTCTCTTTTAAATATGAAATTTGGATGTTAAAGTACAGAATAATATATGTAGATATAAAAAACATTCGTGTGGTTTAATATTAATTTAACATTTCCTATTAAATTTAGCTACTAGGGACTTTTAATACAAAATAAAGAAAAAAAATAATAACTTTTTTAGAGTAACTAGAGCCTATTGTACTTTTAAAGAGCCTTCGGTGTTTTTAAATTCTTCTTTTAGTAATTTCAAATAATTTATCTGACATAACTTACTTCCCATACACTTTATCTCATAGGCTAACAGCAAGCTTTTTATGACTTTATCTGTGGTTATTTCTTTTTGTTTAAACAATTCAATAAATTCTTAGAAGTTCATAAGCCAATTGGTTTTTCGTTGGTAATTCTTTTACTAGGTTCTCTTCAACATGTTAATCTATATATATAAAAGAAAGTCGTGTTAGTTACTTCACTTATAACTTAAGAACGGCTGAACCGATTTGGCTGAAAATTGATGGGGAGGTATCTTACAACCGGGAGAAGGACATAGGATACTTTTTATCACTTTCCACGAGAAAAATGTGGTATATGTAAACGCAACTGACATGGAATGACAAAACGAAATTGACAGCAAAACAAAAAATTTATCAGTCAAAACATCAGTCTAGCCTTTCATTTGTTAAGATTGCATGTTTGTTTTTGGTTCGATTTACTTGAAATTGATTAAAAAATTCAATCTCTGTTGGGGGGGATGAGTGGTGAAGAGGAGTTGCAATGTTTAAATGGAACATATATTATTTGTGATCAGATTTACTTGAAACTTTGTTTTAATGGTCTCTCATTTAATTTCTGAAAGATCTATCTCGACAATTTAAAAAAGGGAAAGGTGTTGCAATTTTTGTTTGGGACATACTTTATTTATGGTTGAATTTACTTGAAACTTGGTATATATGCTGTTTGATATTATTAATCAAATGAAAAGAGGTTGCAACGTTTCCATGGGCTACATTTTATTTGTACTCGGATTTACTCGACGGTTGCTCATTGTTGAAATTAAGCAAATACGTGTTTTGGCAATTTTTAAAAATCAACCCTTAAGGATGAAATGTTGTTGCTACGTTTGTATTTGAAAGATGGCGACATTACACAAAATTAAAACGTTGTAAGGGTGAATTGGGAGCTAAAAGGTTTTATGGAGAAAGAATATTAATTTTTGGGAGGGAAGCCGCGGGGAAAAGCTAGTTCTTTAATAAATAAATATAATTTACTAAAATAAAAATTCATTCAACCAAATATAGTGTACATAATGGTTTTTATAGTGAACATATTCTCCCGTAAAACAATTTTTATATCAAAATAGCATGCGGGATTGTTGTAGGTAAACAGGTACCCGTTTTATTTTGTTTTTTGCTAGCAAACTCACCGAAATCCCAATTCATGTTCAGACTTGTAAACATTAAGTACATCGAAAGCCGAATGTTCGATTCCATGTTCTTTTTTATTATTAGTAACGAAAACCGGCAACGACATGTAACCGCGAAAAACAATTTGCGACATGTTTAGTCTTTCCTCTAAGTCCTCCGCATTTTTCGCGGATTTCTCCAGGAAACAACAGAAACTTTTCTCTCCCAATAGTCCTAACAAAATCCAAACGATCTTTGGTAACTTTCCGCACATTTTTACTCGCCAATTTCCCGACGTACGAACGGGATGATTTTCGCAAACGCCGGACGTGCTGCTTTTCTTCGGCAAAAGCTCGCACTGAACCGGGATTTCGGAGTCTGATGAAGACGCGAAACGACCCTTCCACGCGCGCGCGAAACCAAATGGACCAAGAATGCAAATAAAAGTTTCCGCTGCGCTTGCAAACGATAAACACTAGAATTAAATGAACTGATACTTTTGCCAAATGGATTGTGAAGATCTGAAAGTTTACAAACGTAACCAGATGATAAAACGCCCCTAACAAAGGAATTTAGCCATTGCTTTGACTAAAGACTCAAATAAAACCTTAAAATCACCAACAAATAATCGTCACAAGTTGCTTTATGTTATTGGATTTATTGATCATCATTACCATAAGGTAGTCAGTCGTATGACTGGTTAAACACAAACCTCTACGCTTTCTTATCATGAGCTACTCTTCGTATTTCCCTGAAACTAGAACATCGCAGATCCGTAACTATTTGTCAGCATTAATCTAATTCATGTGGATCTACCTCAACTCCTCGTATTAACTCCTGTTTCTGCTTCTAATATGTGTTTTACTAGCCCATCATGCTTGAGAAGGTGTCCTACCAACCTACATTGCCTCCATAACGCTCTTTGTTCTCCTATTTTTTTTTAATGCCTTCTCATTTCCACGGTATCCTCACCAATCACCTGTAACACCACATTTCAATCGTTTTCAACCTCTTCTTTTCTACCGCCTTCACTGTCCACGATTTCGCACCCTTATAGAACTGTGCTTCAGACCTACACCTTTAACAATCTTCGCGAGCATAAAAGTGACTCCTTTCTGTTAAAAGCTACTCAACCCTGCACTATTCTTTGTTTGAAATTTCTATTGCTCCCACCATCCTGAATTATCCTATATAGGGAATCAGGGACTAATTTTTCATCTACTATCATAATATTCATTCATTCATGTTTCACATCCATGTAGAACCGTGTATTATGTGGAATGTGGATGACGTAAAGGCAATGTCTCTATAATATTACTGTAGGTACAATTCCTCTCAACATTAGAATTACCTCCAACCTCACTCACCCTAATGGGATTAATATAACTATTACATTAACTTGCTAAGTCTATAATTTACTATTTATTGCTAGTATTAGTTAACCATACCATTAAAAACTAAAAAGGGTACAACTTTTTATTTCGTTATACATATTACTTTTTGAAGTGAAACTTCTATATAGACGGGGGGTATTACGATTTTCTCTGTCACGAAAAAGCTGTACGAGCGAGTGGAGAGGGGGAGAGAAAGGCTTGCGGCGACGGAGAGAGGGCAATGACTGCATTAGAAGGATATAATACGCAGTCGCGCGGAGAGCGGTGAGTCCGCTAGGGTCACGGCGGCGTGTGCTGTGCTCAGCTGTTGTTTTTTTACCTCTGCGATCCGTGTAAAAACCAAATCATAATTTACAGTAAACCTGCGAAAACGAAATGTGTGTTGGGACACATAGTAGAAGTGAAACTTCAACGGACAAGTAGAAAAACGAATGGCAACGGACAAGTAGAAAAACGAATGGCAACGGACAAGTGGAAAAACGAATCGCAACAAAATTTTTACTTCAAGTTTTACGGGCAGATTGTTGTTATACTAGTTAATATACTTGTCCAATTTGAAAACCTGCCCGTAAAACTTCAAGTATAAATTTTGTTGCGATTCGTTTTTCCACTTGTTTCATTTCTACTATGTGTCCTAGCATACATTTCATTTTTAAAATATTGTATTAGGTATGTACAATACTTAAAATGTTTTGCCTGAACTTTTAATATCATTAAAGGGCCCCTATCGTTTTATTCTTAGCTTATCACAATATTAATCAATCGAAATCGAATCAAATTTCGACATAACGTGTAAATTGCTTTTCGATTTTTTGATAAACATCCGATGTCGTTGACACACTATTGTAAAAGAAGAATCTCGTTACAAACTAGTAACGAATTTTCTTTCAGGAAATTCTCATCCTCAGTTTTCACTTCATGTAGATACTATACTGCCGTATAGGCACCTATTCACTTCAGTGACCCTTTTGACCCACTTTGCTCAACTATATGAGAGCCCTTACCAATTTTTGCGCTGTTTGAAAAATTATCTGAAAGCTTTCCGACTCGCTACAATTTAAAACACTCTCTCGTTAAATTTAATCAAGAAAGAGGCATTATACTAAAACCAGTTTTTTTATTTTAGGTGAGATGGCAACAATTATTGGGCAGACGTCGCGGAAATGAGAAAACAACAAGGCGAGTGGGGGTGAGTTTGTAATTTCATTATTTGATGCTCGGGAAAGACATTTTTCTTCTTCGCAATTTTCTTTTCTGTCGAAGTTAATTACAAACTTCTGATTAAAATAGCTGAAAACTTAAGACAACTGAACCGGACAAAAATAGGGCGATATCTAGAAAACTTAGGGTAGAAAATGTGGAAGACGTTTTAAAAAGTTAAAAAAGGAAATGAACATAGAAAAGCATAAAAACGCTAACTAATTACTACAACTACGTAACTCGTTAAGTACAGTAGAATATTCGTTAAATATAACTAATTGATTTGTTTATAGCGATTACAGACACGTTAAAGATTATTAAGTTTCTCAAATTACACCATCAAGAGTGCTATGTGTTTAAAAATAGAAAAATACAAGTGTTGGTAGTTTTTTCTGAACATTTGAAATATATAACTGAATTGAAACCAGTTAACAAGTTTTCTTCGTTGCTAGTGTTAATTACTAGTATCTATTGGCTAAAGTTAGAATTTTTCTTACTTATATTAACGTACAAAAGGACAATCACTGATTTATTTTATTATGTGTAGGTGTAAATTTAACTTTAAACGTTACTGTATATGTACTTCCTAATGAACCCGTAACTATACATAACAACAATAATTTGAGGTAATTCATAAGATTCTTCCATTTAATTGATTTAATGTTTCTAGTTCTACCGGAAACTTTATCTTCATGTGTAGTTCCTCTTTTCCGTATGTACTATAATGAAAAATAGCTACATTTTATTGATTCTCCTTGAAATTAGTCTTTAGAAAAAAATCCTGCACAAATTGTGCATAATTGTCACCGCTATCACCTAAATTTCATTGATTGGAGTGAATAATACTATTAAAAACAGGACAACTTTAGGACATATAGGGACAAAAGATTTGGGAGTGTTGTACGAGGTAGACTAGGCGGGTTGGTAGGATTTCCTTTAATATATATCAGTATAAATCAAGTAGGGATCAGTTACAAAAATAGAAGTGATACTTAGTTTGTATAAAGAGCATCAGGCACTTGTAGATCTGGAACTGCAATGTAGAGAAGTAAATATTAGGAAGGGTGTCCGACGGGGATGCACACTGCCACCGCTACTGTTTAATCAATACATCGAAGACGCGATCAATATCATTAAAGACAGCACAACTGTAGGGATACATAAACAGGGGCAAAACATTAGTAGATGATATAGCAGTATTAGCATCTAGAAAGGAGGAGTTAGGGATAGCATTAAATAAAATGGAAGCGGTATTGACAAAACAGAATTGCATGAAAATAATAAAAGTAAAAAAAAAATACTGATATGCAAGGGTAAAAAAGTAGAGAAAGAGCGAATATAAAGATAGGAAACGAAAAATTAGAAGAAGTGGCTGATTTTAGATATATAGGAAGTCAGATAAGTCAAGACGGAAGGTGTCGTAGGGATATAAAGCAGAGCATAGCGCAGGGTCGAGTCGCCTTCAATAAAAAGAAGTCACTCCTATGCTCGCAAACGATTAATTTAGAAATTCGAAAAGGATTGTTAAAGGTGTATGTTTGGAGCGTGGCATTATACGGGTGCGAAACATGGACAGTGGACGGAAAAGAAGAGATTAGAAACGTTCGAAATGTGCTGTCACAGGCGAATAATGAGGATACCGTGGATAGAGAAGGTTTGAAATGAAGAGATATTAGAAGGAGTAGGAGAACAGAGGACTCTATGGAAGTCAATAAGAAATATCCGAGATGGGTTGGTAGGACACCTTCTCAGGCATGAAGGTCTAGTCAAAGACATATTAGAGGCAGAAATCGGAGTTAAGAGTAGCAGAGGTAAACCTAAATTAGATTACTGTTCGCAAATAGTTTTGGAGAAATGCGAAGCTTAATTCAGGGTATAAAAGAGTGGAGGCGTGTGTCCAGCCAGTCTTAGGACTGACAACCTTATGATGATGATATATAGGACTAGTTAAAGACATATTAAAAGAAAAAACAGAGGCTGAGAGGGGAAGAGGTAGGTTTAGATTAGGTTACTATTCGTAAATAGTTAAAGATGTCGATTGGTCTAGCTTTTAACTCAAGATAGGGTGATGTGGAGATGTGTGTCCATGTACCACTGTTTGGGCTGAAGAGCATATGATGATGATGATGATGAGGATTATTTGTAGATAAATTAGTAACTTTTTATGTAGTCATTGTTTTCCTTCGAGGATAATCGCTTTTTTCCTGAAGTATATTGGACCTTTTTCAATTTGTATATTTTTAAATCTCGTTTCTTTTAGTCTCTGAATTTTGGTCGGAAAAACAATTTACCATGCATAAGAATGATTGAAATCCGTGGTGTTATTTTTGTTATCTACTTATCGTCGATGTGTTCCTATTTGTACGAGCATTTCTCTTCATAAAATTTAGGTGAAACAATTCCATTTCCACCCTTCGAGTCCCGGACTGTTGAGCTAAAATTTGAATAGCAAAGATACAGTAAGTCACTGAAGTAATTGCAGAGAACGTATGGTTAAATCCAGTCATAGTCGATGTATAGAGATATAGGACAGGGGTACATGCTGACGTAATAAATAGACTTTTATTTTAAAAAATTTCGAAAATAAAAACTTTGAAACTCTGATAAATATAGTAAAACGTTTAAAAGGTTGTACATTTGCGTATATTAATATTTTTATAGATAGAATCCAGAAAAACCTTCTAAATTCTAAATGTTATTAGACTTCGACTAAAAAC